TCGGTGTTTTAATATGCTTTTCTTCTGCACAGGCTTTTTTTCTATTAGTCAGTTGTAACTATTAAATTAATAAACAAAACTGATTATAATGAACTAATAAAATATTTTCATTTATTTATAATTACTGACATTCCACTCATCAGTTTCTAAACCCTATACAAGTAAGTATTTATATTAAATGTCAAATTATTTATTTATGACAGCATTTCTCAACCTGGGTTTGCGGTGATATTAAAAGAAAGTCACAAAACAGTAATAAAATCATTATAAACTATAATTTCTATACAGTTTAATACATTAAACTGTGTAGAAATTAATGTATTTAGGAGGAAACTCCATTACATGCATTCTGTCAAATTGCAAACCTGTCATCATCAGAAAGTAACGATGAAAATGACGAAGGTGATACCATTTATTTGTCGACAATTATTTCAAAATGTAAAAACTACTAAGTTGCAAGGCCATAGAGAATCAAGTTATAATCCAGGAGCAAAATTTTAGTTTATTTTGGATCATGCAAACAAAATGTTCTAACACCATTACACTCCTCATCAAGAAATACCTATTAACAACAATTATTACACAACTACTTGGAATATACTGTTGTCAGACAGCTATTGGTGGCCTTTTCTATAAATGATTCAAGCAGCATTCCTAGTCAATGAATTTTTTTTTAAGAATAATTAAGAAATAATTAAGAAAAAGAAATAAGAGAATTATTTTTTACAACATGATATTAGTGTTTTTAACTAATTGAATGAACTCTCCACTTCCTATTTCTTATACATAATAAGTAGACTGTATGAATTTATAGAATTGGAATGTTTTTTCTCACTCACAATTACTTACTGCCTTATATAGCTTACTTATTTTGTCAGTGAATCTCTTTCTGATGTCCCATGTGGTAAGTGAAAGTAACACAGGCATGTGTAACAATCTAAACACAAGACGACAAGAAAAAAAGTTTGCAAGCAATGAAACGAGTGTTCATGCCAATTGTCTTGTAAAGCATCGCTGTTAGCACAAAGTATGTGCATAAGTTCATATAATTATAAGTGTATTGTAGCTTTTTGCTCGATCGGTTGGGAAATGAAACAAGTTCACCAATGCATCCAAGTCCTAAGAGTAATTCAATCTTATTTTCATTGTGTCTATACTTTCCGTTATGGTTAAAGGAAACTAACAGGTATGCGCAGCAAGTGATAAATGGCATCCTAGTGCTAGATATAAATCAATGGAGAATCATGCGAATATCTTCACTAAGTAGATGCAGTTTCTACATTTTCTGAAGTGGAGGAAAGTGGCGCCACTGCAACATTCCACTGGACTCTCTCAGATCAATTTTATCATGGCGGTAGTTGAAAGCCTGGCGAAGGAATGGATGGAGGAGCAAAAGTTTTATTTCTTGAAAAACTTTGAGGTTTGGTAGTACTCGTCAAGCTACCAGGCAGGTTGGCGAAAACGTGTGTAGTTCGCAGCTCAAAGAATAAAGGAAAAACTAACCACAAAAGCATGTACTAGATGCGACAGGGCTGTTCATACCAACTGTCTGGTGAAATAATTCTGCTAGCACACAAATGTACGTGCATAAATTGATACTTTGCAGTTTTTCTATTTGTAAGTTATTAATAAAACATAAGACTAGAATATTAAATACACTGATTTACTTTTTTAATAGTACAGTAGTACAAATTTATATATTTTGATTTATTCTATTTTAATTTTTCATGTATATTTTTAGAAATAATTTGTAATTTTTGATATAAAGTAGTTATTAGATATATACAACATATATTTGTGTATATACACTGGATGACAAGAAAAATAATGCACCCTGAAGGACTTGTTGGATTTGAATAAAAATTGGTATGTGGCATTGTCATAGCTAGACAGGTATACGATTGCAACCATAAAGCAAAACATACTTTATTGTGCAGTAATGTGCAATGCAGTGCAGATGCTAATATCCAGCTGGGCCACGTCTAGCATGAGGCTTTCACTTCTTTTGCTTTCTTTGGGACTACATACATTTATATAAGCAGATGCGTAAACGGAATAGAAGAGCTGTATAGAGAGACTGACAGAGCGAGGAAATTCGTATCATAGATATCTTGAACTCAATTATCATTATTTTAAGGTGGATTAAACAGGATTTTTTTTTTTTTATATACATATAGGTGGTCTCCTTTCAAGTGGATCCATAATTATGATGCTCTTGACTGTTCGTCGCTGGATATTTATTCTGGTATTTAAATAATCATTTGTCTCTCCCTATAGAAAAGGAAAGAGAAATGCAATCTGGTGGTCAGAGTCATTAAAGAATATATCGCAGGATGTATTTAAAACTTAAATTAAAGGTTTTAATTTAGTTTTTAATTTTGATGTGCAATGTGTCCAATCCTCCTGTACTGTGGATGATCAGGAACAAGTCTCCCTCTCAAATGAAGATAAAGATGATACACCTCAGGGAAAGCGTCGCTTTCTAGATGAAAATTTTATGTTTTTTGTTTTTCATACAAAATTCCATAGAAGGAAAATGTATTCCACATCATCTGATGAAGGGAACGTATTTCATCTCCTCTAAGACTCTCATAAGTGGCAAAATATAAATCACATTCAAGAACTTGTTCTAGAGAAAGTTTAGATATTTCTCAACATCTCTTATCTTGCTTTAAGATTAATATCGAGTTCTGATTAAATTTCCAAACGAATTGGTCTCAGAGGTAAGACTGGTTCTGATCTCGATGGAGATGAGTATGTGGTTTAAATCCTGTAGATTCCGATAAAGCAAAATCACGTATAAAGAACTGTGTCTGATCTCTACGTCCTTGGCTTCTTGCATCATTGGTCCAAGCATATGCAATTCATCACCAAGTACCAAAAGAGGGAGTAATTGTCCATGCGATACAAAAGTCAAAATGCCACGAGTATTTTCTTTTCAATTTGAGTTTCAAAACGTCTTACAAGAAGAGATTAAAACTGTAACAAAGTGTTTTTAGTCTTCATTTTCATTTTAGTAGCTTTTACCAACATCAAGTGGTCTAGGAGGACAGGTAGCTTTAAAAGGTTATCTTGAATTACGTTCATTTAATTTAACTGCAGGACTATGTCTAAATAGAAGCTTTGAGTTTCAAGGAAAATACGGGGAACTCTGGAGAATTCATTTCAATTTATATCAAAATTTCACAATGAGCATTGTAGAGAACCAATCGATTTCATTCAGACAAGAAATGATATGATGAAATGTCAGATTGTTCTGATTTAAATTCAGAAGGACATTTTCCAAATCTTAACAATCTCTCTCACTGGTAAAACTGGTTAACTGGTGTCGAGTCTCACAGTTTAGATCATTTGAATAACCAGCATCTCTGTTATAGAAACCTCAAGATCGGATCCCGTGATTTGAAACATTGAGAACTAGTCTTACCGACTAGTCACTGGTAAATTGATAGGAGACCTGTCTGAATTGATTTCAATAAGTTTAATATATAGGTAAAATGGAAGCATACAGTAAAAGTCGTGTCTGTGAAGATTTCTATCTAATTTTTCCATCACGAAGAATTATTCATATTATAATTATTTATCCTTTTACTACAGGTTAATTCACAATTGTGTGAACCGAGGGGTTAGAGCGAGAGCTTCTCCCCACTTACCGGCTTGGTTGTCAGAGAATGGCTATAGGAGGGCAAAAGGAGTGGGAGGTGTAATGAAGTTGTGATGAGGTGTCGGTAGTACTCAATAAGAGTCATTAAATTTAGGAACAACACATTTATTATAAACACTAGAATATTACAAATACATTAGGGTACATCTTAAGTCTAAACAAAAACAAAAATATAATAATAATAATTCTGCGTCGCGACAATATCGGACAACTGATGTCTGTCTATCCCGTAAGTGGGACTGCCGAAGGTCCTCGACCCAAGTAATTCTAAGTCCTATCAAAAAGGAACAGAGTAAATAATTTCTAAGTCCCGAGTAAGTCGGGAGAGAGAGGGAAGAAAAAAATAATTTAAGTCTTTACCTCTAAGATCGGCGATCAGAAACCTCAAAGTCCTTCCAGAGTAGAGTAGACGTTTGCAGTCTTTTTCCCCGATGATCGTGCCAAGACCTCGGATCAGTCTCCTTTTATACTTTTTAGCATGGGAAATTTTGGGGACTTTATTGACGCAATATGTCAGTTCTCCCGATTTATGACAGTCTCCCTTGTCGTGGGTGACGACACTATAGACATTGCTTGATTAATTAGTATTAAATGCATTATCACCTGGGGAGATGACTGACTATTTTTGGTTATGATTCTCACTGCAAAGTTGACCCTTGTAGGTGACCTCTTGTTCACCCTCAACACAGGAACACATGTTTTTGTTAATTGGTCATACTGCAGAGACTTCGTAATAGAGTAGTCTCCTGGGGAGAGGGGAGTTCTTCTGCGGTTGCCTCGGACGACTTTGTCTGTCAAGAAGGTCATCGCTAGAAACTACGCAGTTCATTGTCCGGGGGCTATTCTTCGGGCAACGGGGTGAGAACAGGAGAAATAACGGAAATAATGATGGAAGAAGTATACAACTTCGTTTCATATTAAATGAAACTCTCATATGAGAGCCCCTCTGTGGGTTCCTGTCCGTGGTGAGGGGACCTCCCAGAGATGGTTTAGATACTCTTCTTCACCATCCCTGGGATCTGAACGCCCACCCACGTGTTTGCCGTGCGTGGTGTCCCGTATGCCGGGAAGGGGGATCCTGGTAGTTGAGGGGCAACATAACGTCCCCAACACACTGCTTTGGCCCCTGCTTCGGATAAACGGGAGGCTCAAATCAGGCTCCGTTTGAGTCAATCGGCTGGTCGTTGAGTCATTCTTGACCTCGGCTTGGAGTCAACCGATCGATGCAGACCGGGCGGACATGTCAGACAAGATGTGCTCTTCTTGACTGCATTGTGAGGGTATAGCTCCTGGGAAACCCTGGTGTGACGGTCTATGGGAGTCTCCCATGTGACGGCATCCCCTTGTTGGGCCCCATGGTGGGTGGGGTCACTAGGAGCTGAATTTTTTCTGTAATTATGGATTCAAAAAATTCAAAAAGTTCTTGTGCACCAACAACAAAAACAAACAAAAAAATCTCCACTAATCCAGCGTTCTTAGTAGTGCACGCAACCGGAGAAAAACCCTTGGCTAAAGCTTCTCCTTTCTTGATTCAAAAATTGTTTGAATCGACCATAGGACAGTTGAAAAAAATACAAAAATTAAGATCTGGAGATTTACTGGTGGAAACAGCTTCCCCACAACAATCGGCAAAACTTCTGGAAACAAAGACCCTAGGAGAAATGGAAGTCACTGTCACCCCACATGTGAGCCTAAACTCATCACGTGGGGTAATATCTGAGATCGATCTGATATCTGAAGATGAATCAGATATTCAGATTGGCCTTTCAGACCAAGGTGTCACTGCTGTCCGACGCATTTCCATTCGTCGAGATGGCAAGTTGATTCCCACCAAACACCTTATTTTGACATTTAATAAACCGACTTTGCCATCTGTTATTACAGCAGGTTATCTGCGCTGCCCAGTTCGCCCATATGTTCCAAATCCGCTGCGTTGCTTTAAATGCCAGCGATTTGGACATTCACAAACATCGTGCCGAGGGAAAAGCATATGCGCACAGTGCGGAACTGAAGGTCACGAGAGTACTGAGTGTACCACTACTCCGTGCTGTGTGAATTGCAAAGATGCCCATCCTGCCTACTCTCGAAAATGCCTAGCATGGCAGAGAGAGAAAGAAATCCAGCGAGTAAAAACCATTAACAACATACCATACCCGGAGGCTCGGCGAATGGTCACTCAAAGCACAGTAGTGAAACAGAAAACATTTGCTTCTGTGTTGAAATCCACAATGTCATGTGGGGTTCAAACTGATATCTCTGTCTCCCCAAGCGAATCTCTTACTCGCCATGCGAAATGTTTAATACTCCCGTCTACACAAACACCAGAAAAGGAGATCACAAAAGGAAAAACACCCCTGCCTAAAACAGGGGTAATTACAAGAAACCTGGGTTCTAAAAAGGCTAATAAGAACCCACTAAACAAACAGAGAGTGAAAGCAGCTCTCTCTAAATCTAAAAAATCAGAGGCTCAGTCCATGAGTGAGTTCTCTGATATCTCTGATGAAGAGAATAATATGGAGGTAACCCAACCAACGTCACCTCCAAAAGGAAAATCATCAGTTAAACTGAAGAGGGACACTTTTTCTAAGAATGCTGCCTCAAACACATAATGGATTATAAAATAATCCAATGGAACTGTCGTGGTTTTCGCAACAACTTCTCTGACATTAAACACTTGACATCATCTACCTCATCTCTCTGCGTGGCACTCCAGGAGACTCATCTGAAACCTAGAGAGGGAATTACTTTAAAAGGATTTGATCTCTACCGCAAGGATGATGATAGCCACAACCGTGCAAGTGGTGGTGTGGCTATTCTGGTTTCCAACCGCACCCCATCCTTGCCGGTACAAATAACAACAGAGCTGCAAGCGGTGGCAGTCAAAATTTCAATTGGCGTAACTGTCACAGTCTGTTCTATATACTTGCCACCAGATGTCAGAGTCAATGAGGATGAATTGGATACACTAGTTGAACAGCTGCCAACTCCTTTCCTTTTACTCGGTGATTTCAAGTGTCACAATTCAATGTGGGGCAGTCCTGACATTAACCGTTGAGGCAGGATTATTGAAAGATTTATTGGCAATCAACAACTGTATTTATTTAATACAGGAGAAGTGACATACTTCCATGCTCCATCAAGAACGTTTACTGCCATTGATCTATCATTAGCAACTCCAAATCTGTTTTCAGCATTTACATGGGAGGTTGGATCTAATCCACTCTCTAGTGACCACTTCCCAATATTTTTAAAATATCAAGGCAGAGAAAGCTGTGAAACAGCCCGTCCACCACGCTGGAAACTGGAAATGGCAGATTGGCCTACATTTTCGTCCATGGCTAACATCACTGAGGAAATGGTCAATACTGCTGATATCAATGATGCAGTTGAANATTAGTTAATTTAAAATACTTCAATTTTGAATATCGCGTGTAATTTTGTAAAGAAAATTTTAATGGACTTTGAACTGACATTTGAGTTATAAATAAACACTTGGCTATATTTTCATCATTTTAGTTGCTACGTGACAACAGCACGTTTCGGCCATAAAGCCCCTTACAAGTTTACTAAAAAATATATATACAATTTTTAAAACATTACATAAAATATTTTACAAAACAGAATTAAAATAACATATGTTTTTTACCATATTCATTTTTAATCTGTTATGCATACAAGGTCTTAATGGGCGTAGACAACTTATTTTACAATAAGTGGGGTAATTGCATTTTTTGGATCTAACCTTGTATTTTTTGATGGTATAAGTCCGATGGGCTGGACACATTATTTTTCAGATGGATGCTGCTGCTTCTGTAATTGAAATTCACTTTGTTGTTTTTGAAAACGTGTTTTGCGAATATATTGGACTTGAAAATTTTAATGTCAAACTGATATAAACTCTTTGTATGCTGATCACCACTGATTTAAATTGAGAGAATTTCAAAATAACGATCATAAAGTAGAAAGTATTTAGACGTTTTTTAACATCGAAAATGTTTGTTTTTTACGTTATCTTGCAGGGAAAGTTCATCATAAAACTTCGCTTTACACAAGACACATTCCAATTCGTACTTCAAAAGTTGTCGATTGTTTCACATCGATTTCAATGCTGATGTGAGCAGCAGGGGGTCACTGGGTCGAACCCTAATGACCACTTAATCTGCACGGGTCGGGAAGACCCGCTCTTGGTTGTCGGATGGCAATAGGAGGGCAAAAATTATGAGTGGGAGGCGTAGCGAAGTCATGATGAGATGTCGGTAATATCCAATAAGAGTCATTAAAATTAGGAATAACATATTTAATAGAAACTAAAATAGAAATACAAATACATTAATTCTAAACAAATATGTATGGAAGTGATACGCATAATAAATTCCGAGTCGCGACAATATCGAACGCCCGATGTCCGACTAATCCGTAAGCGGGACCATCAAAGGTCCTCAACATAAAGTAATTCTAAGTCCTATCCAAAGGAACAGATAAATAAATTCAAAGTTCCGAGTATATCGGTAAACGACAAATTTCTAAGTCCCGAGTATACCGATGGACAATATTTTTCTAAGTCCCGAGTATACCGAGAGAGAGTGAAGTAATAACAATCTAAGTATTTACCTCTTTAGATCGGCGATCAGAAACCTTGAAGTTGCTTGAAGACTTCTTTCCTTGATGATCTCTTCCTCCGATGATCGCCTCGAGATCTCCGATCATTCCCCTTTTATACCTTTTTAGCGTGGGAAATCTCGCATACCTCGCTGACGCAAACTGTCACTTCTCCCGATTTATGACAGTCTCCCCCGTCATGGGTGACGACAACGCAGACATCGCTTGACCAATTAATGTTAAAGTCGTCATCACCTGGGGAGATGACTGACCATTTTTGGTAATGTTCTCACCGTAAGGGTGCCCTTGTAGGTGACCTCTTGTCTACTCTCAATACAGGAACATCCATCTGTCTCTGTCCACCGGACAAAGTCGGACACCGTAGACACCTTGTAATAGAGTGGCGACCAATTAGCAAAACAAACAAATGTCCCGGGGAGAGGGGACTTCTTCCGCGGTCGCCTCGGCCGACTTCGTCCTAGGGACGACCTTCTCGACAGACGAATTACGCAGTTCACTATCCGGGTTTATTCCTCGGATATTAGGGTGAGAACGGGAGAAACAACGAAAATGATGATGAAAGAAATATAACTTGTTACTTTTTTCAAAAAAAAAAAAGGTCGGATTTTCACACTGATGTGTTCAAGGTCGTGTGATACCTAGCTTGAAGTTGCAGAAATGTTTTTTTCACGTTTTTTTTGTACTTCATCAGAATCTTCAATATTGTCTTCTACATCCTGTAAATATACATTTGATGAAATTTAATATATAATATGGATAGATGTCTGGTATATTTTAAAAACCAATGTGCATGTTATAACACAGAAATTTTTAATCGTTTCAAATTTCTAAATGGTAACCCAACAAACGTCACCTCCAAAAGGAAAATCATCAGTTAAACTGAAGAGGGACACGTTTTCTAAGAATGCTGCCTCAAACACATAATGGATTATAAAATAATCCAATGGAACTGTCGTGGTTTCCGAAACAACTTTTCTGACATTAAACATTTGACATCATCTACCTCATCTTTCTGCATGGCACTCCAGGACTCTAATCTGAAACCTAGAGAGGGAATCACTTTAAAAGGATTTGATCTCTACTGCAAGGATGATGATAGCCACAATCATGCTAGTGGTGGTGTGGCTATTCTGGTTTCCAACTGCATCTCATTCTTGCCGGTACAAATAACAACAGAGTTGCAAGCTGTGGCAGTCAGAATTTCTATTGGAGTAACTGTCACGGTTTGTCTATATACTTGCCACCAGATGTCAGAGTTAACAAAGATGAATTGGATGCTTTGGTTGAACAGTTGCCTACTCCATTTGTTTTACTAGGTGATTTCAATGGTCACAATCCAATGTGGGGCAGTCCCGACATTAACCGTCAAGGCAGGACCATTGAAAGATTCATAGGCAATCAGCAACTATATTTATTTAATACAGGAGAAGTGACATACTTCCATGCCCCAACAAGAACATTCACTGCCATTGATCTATCATTAGCAAGTCCAAACCTGTTTTCAGCATTTACATGGGAGGTTGGATCTAATCCACTCTCTAGCGACCACTTCCCAATATTTTTAAAATATCGAGGCAGAGAAAGCTGTGAAACAGCCCGTCCACCACGCTGGAAACTGGAAACGGCAGATTGGCCTGCATTCTCCTCTATGGCTAACATCACTGAGGAAATGGCCAATACTGCTGATATCAATGATGCAGTTGAAGTTGTCACTTCTACTATTATTCAGGCAGCGGAAAAAACAATGGGGAAAACATCAACTAGATATCCAAAGCATCCGAAACCATGGTGGAATCCGAATTGCGAGGCAGCATTTAAAGCACAAAAGAAAGCATGGGGAATTTTTAGAAGATACCCCACTGCTAGAAATTTGATAGCTTTTAAAAAAGCGAAGGCAAATGCCAGAAGAATAAGAAGGCAAAGCCAAAGGGATTCTTGGAGGAAGTATGTTTCTAGCATAACATCTTCCACTAGCTCAAAAGCAGTCTGGGATAAAATCCATAAAATCAATGGGAAATATGCTTCTCACTCTCTGTCCATGCTGGAAAATAATGGCACAATAATCAGCGATATACAGGGTATTGCTGATACGTTGGGTGAAACGTTTTCTACTTCATCCAGCAATATTATGTATTCAAGAAATTTTCAGGCTTATAAAGCCCAAAGAGAAAAACAGTGTTTAAACTTTCATTCCTTATCTAATGAGGAATATAATGTGCCATTCACTAGAATTGAATTACAAACAGCGCTCTCTCGCTCGGGGAATAGTGCTGTAGGCCCAGATAAAATTCACTACAGCATGATTAAAAATCTGTCAAACAGTTCCCTTTCTAATCTCTTGCACCTGTTTAACAGAATATGGACAGAAAATAATTTTCCTGACTCTTGGAAACTATCAATTATTATCCCTATTCCAAAACCTGGTAAAGACCGCAAGAATCCCTCTAATTACAGACCAATCTCTCTGACAAGTTGCCTGTGTAAACTGTTTGAGAGGATGGTAAACAGACGTTTTTATGTTTTTCCTAGAGGAAAAGAACTACTTTTCACCACATCAGAGTGGATTTCGTAGGAACAGATGTACCACGGATAATACAGTAAAACTTGAAACATCCATACGTGAAGCGTTTGTTAGACGACAACACTTAGCGTCTGTATTCTTTGATATAGAGAAGGCCTATGATCGCTGCTGGCGTTACTGAATACTTTGTGATCTACATGATTTCGGATTGCAGGGTAACTTGCCAGTTTTTATAAAAAACTTCCTGCAGAATCGAAGATTCCAAGTCAGGATGGGCAACACTCTATCTAGGTCTTTTGTTTAGGAAGAAGGTGTTCCTTAAGGATGTATTTTGAGTGTGACTCTGTTCCTAATTAAAATTAATAGCATAGCTAAGTGTCTTTCTTTCAGTGTGAAACATTCTTTGTATGTGGATGACTTTCAGATCTCCTGCCAGTCTAGCAACATGAGTTTCATTGAGAGACAACTGCAAACCTCTCTAAATTGCATAGACAATTGGTCCAAGACCAATGGTTTTAGTTTAAACATAGAGAAGACCTCATGCATTCACTTTCGCCGAAGGCGTGGTTTGCACCTGGATCCCGAAATTTATATAAATGGGGTTAAAATTTTAATTGTGAATGAGGCTAAGTTTTCGGGTGTTTGTTTTGACCAAAAACTGACATTTTTGCCACACTTGCGCAACCTGAAGAGTAGATGTTTAAAATCTCTAAACCTTATAATGGTATTATGCTGCTCATCCTGAGGAGCAGACAAAGTTTCTATGCTGAGGATTTATAGGGCCCTTGTCCTCTCTAAGCTGGACTATGGGTGCATTGGTTATGGCTCTGCGCGAGAATCTACTTTTCGGACGCTGGATCCAATCCATCATCAAGCTTTGCGTTTGTGCACTGGTGGTTTTCGAACTTCCCCT